CTTATATTGTACTTTAATTTTAATTTAAACATATTTTAAAAATATTTTAAACATGTAAAAAATACACTTATATTGTACTTAAATTCTAGTTTAAGTATATTTTAAGTATAATTTAAGTACTTGGGCAAAAAACAAGTACATTAAAAGTATATTTTAAAAGTATTTTAGGTACATTTTAAGTATTATAAGTATATCGTGAATTAAAATTGATACTTATTTTAAGTATATTTTAATAAAATTTTAAGTATATTTTAAATATAAAGACTTTTCATAGGGATTTGCAAAAAGTCAATCTCTAAGTTATATATGTGATGATTCTGTTATTTCTATTCCATTCAGTATCACTGGTCAAAAACCAATATATCGGGTAGCAGATATGTATCAGATATGTACCTGATATGTGTAGTATTAATGCAGAAAATCGGGTACCCGATATGTGTAAAATATATGTAAATATATATATCATATACATATCAGGTACCGATATGTATATGATATGTAAATGATATGTAGACGATATATATATTTACACATATCTTACACATATCGGGTACCCAATTTTCTGCATTAATACTACACATATTGGGTACATATCTGATACATATCTGCTACCCGATATATTGGTTTTTGACCAGTGTATATTATTTATTTTTAATTAATTATTTTCCTAATCACATATTTATCCTAATATTTATAGATATAATGCCAATCAAAACATCCCAAAATATGATTGATTTATCATCAAACATCACTATCAATTAAATACAATTTTAATTGTAAGCCTCTTTAAGACTTTTTTATACAGAATCCCGTTTACTTATAAAATAAATCACTTGCAGGCTTAAAGTAAAAATCATATATAAAATTCTTTGCAAATCCTATTATAAAAGGAAATTTTATGTTATATTATTATAATTTTTTTCTTTTTAGCTAATTAACCAATAGGTAGAATTTAAGAAAAAAGTAAGGTGAAATTATTAGTAAAGGATCAATTTTTTACAGTGACCTTTATTATAAGTAAGCAGGATTCTCTTTATATTTTTACTTTACTATTTAACTTAAAAAGAGCAAATCTAAATTCATCTGACTATATCATTTGTTTTCCTTTCTCTTTTAGTTTTTTTTTATACTATCTTAATTTATCACTTTATATTTTTTAGTCAATATAAAGGATTTGTTCATTATTCAGTCATCGTTTTTCTTTCTGAAATTTCATGTGCATATCTTATCATTTTTTTAACAAATATGATGAAATCAAAATTAATTTTTTAAAACATCTACAATAAATTTACTAAATTCTCATATTATCTGAATTTCCAACATTGATCACGTGAAGATGGTTGTATAGTTTAACGGGATATGAGTTTTGGAAAGTGTATTTTCTTTAGCATTATTTTTTCAACGAAAAGTTACTCACAGTTTGATCTCATTTTTTTAGATGGCCAAAAAAGGTTTTTTATATGCAGTATAATTACCAAAATCTTCATTATGAAGATATTTTTTAATTATATTATAATGAAAAGTGGTGTTAAGATTTAAATTTAGTCTATTTATTATGTCATCAAAAGGATAAAACTGCTGATTAATATAAATAATATGTCATAAAATACATGTATCATGTTCAGCAAATGTCAGAATACATCTTTTAATAGTATCATTTACTGTACTTGCAGGGATACTCAGTTGAACTGAAATATTTATTTGGTGTTGTTAAGATATACACCAATAATATATTTATAAAAAGTTTCTGAAAGTTTTTTTCCAAATATTTGAAACTAAAGAAGACATGTAATCATTCTGAAGTATTTATTTTTATATTTATATATATAATAAGAAAAAATCAGTAATTGTGGAATATGCACACAATTTCATATAATGAAAATCTGATAATTTAATATAAGCTTGCGTATAATTAAAAAATCTTAATTATTTATAATTTATTATTATTTCAAATTTCTTAATTAATTTATTATATTATTAAACTTTTTTTTTAAAATTTATATAAATTTATACTTTTTTTTTTAATAATAGTATAAAATAAAACTTAATAAATTTTTTTTTTATAACTATATATATAATTAAATTACAATTATTATATCATTTTATTTTAACAAATTTTTACAGTTACTAATTATTGAATTTTTAATTATATCATCATGGCAGATATATAAAATACTTCAAAATTTATTTATTATAAAATATTTGATAGTATTTTAATTACCAAATTTTTATCTAAGTTCTAAATTTATTAGTAAACAGTTAAAAATAAGCTCTGAAAAATTTTTTTGTTCCAAATCTTGTGTTTAACCAATTTTTCCATTATCTAACCAATTTTTCTAGTGTTAAAAGTACATTATTATTTGTTATTATACAGCCAGATAGAATCATACTTTTTTCATTATACTGATATTTTTTTATTAAGTTATAAATAAATTACTATTGCATAATTATTATTAATATTTTTGACATTGTTTAATCAATAGTTTATTGTATTTATAAGATGATCATTGGTAGCTGCAGAATAATACAGTTATTTGATAGGGGTGTTAAATATCATCCGAACTGCTTCCCAGTTTGGTGATATTCTAACCCTCCTATCAAATAACTAATATATATTTTTTAGGAAAAAAATTTAATGTTTCTGTAAGTCAATTTTAATCTGAAGGTATAGCAGGATTTTTGCCAAATTTTATAAATCTGCTACAATGTAATATATATTTCTACTTTTAATTTCCAGTAGCAACTGGAATTGAACCTGTAATCTTATAATAATTAGACTTTATTTATAAGATTTATTACAATTACTTTACTATTATATAATATTTTAATAATAATAATAATAATAAATTTTTAATATTTACTTTTAAAATTAATTTTTAGTTAAATTTATTGACTAATTAATGTTTAGACCAGACCAAGTAAATAGTTTGTTTAACATAACTCCCTTTCTTTTTTGTCTTCAAAATACATTTGGTTGGATAAAATTGTAAAGAATCATATGAATATTCAAGAATTATTATATTATTCATATTTCAGCCAATCAAAAATCTTTGTTCAAGCTATTTGCTATCCCTCTCATATTTTTAACTTCACATGTTAAACAAACTTTTTAATTGGTCTGACCTATGCAAATATTTAGTATTTTGATTTTAATCAAGAAAATATGATTGAAATAGCAATAATCATATATTATATATATATATATATAATATATATCTATATATAAAATAATGAAAAGTTGCATTAAATTAATTTCAAAAGTTCAATATTTGATTCAAAAGTCAACATTAAAACAAAAAAAAATTAAACTCTTACCTAAAATACTATTTGTTATTTGTAAATACTAAAATGTTGTATAAGAAAAAATAAAAAAAAATCAATAATATATATTATAATATTCTACATAAGAAAACATTTAGTTACGTAATATCCATTTATTATAAGTCTATACCCCACCCCATGTAATATATATAATAAGACCTTCAAAAACCCCTAAAATATTACGTAATACTAAATAAATAATCAAAATATAAATATACCTTTAAATTATTTTAAACTTTAAAATTCCCCAATAATTCAGGAGTCTCTGCTTCGCCTTTTTGAATCTTCTCAATAGTTTTCATTAGATCGTAATTAATTTCTTGCGTAACAACAGAATCCTGTTGATATTTTGGATGGGATCTAACAAATTCACGTATCCACTTTGCTGTTGTTTGTATTTCACCTAATTTAAAGTAAAATTAAATTAAATTTTGTAGTAATTTAGTATTATTTAATTGTATAAAAATTTAAAATTACCTTTAGCCTTTTTTTTAACAAATTCCAAATATTTTCCTAATATACATCTTGATTCAATATCAATATTAATTGATTCTAGATAATGATTTATTAAAGTTATCAATCCCGGAAACTTATCACCCTGAAAGAAAAAATAACCACGAATTAGAATTAATGAAGTTAAATTTTTAAGTACAAATAAACAACCTACATCTCCATTAATAATATTATCAATACTCATTTGTTCATATTCATCTTCAATGGAAATTGACTTATTATCTAATGAGTTATTATTATTATGTACATTTTGTTGCTGTATGCTTATATTATCTTTAAATTGGATATTGTATGTAATATTAATGTTTGAAAGATTATTATTACAAAAAATAATAAATATCAACATCAAACATACCATTATCTACATTTACGTAATCGTCATACATAATATTATTTTTTTCAAACACATTTTTCCTAAACCAAAATTTCTCACTTAATACGGCATCCCTTCTATGAGCCATTTTCATATTTTCATCAACCTATAAAATAATTATTATTACAAATAATTAAATAGAAATCGTAATAAAATAAATATTAATAATTACCTTTGAAATAGGGATATAAAAATTTAATCCATAGCTTAAGATTGCTCTAGTTAATAAAACAATAAATACTGCAAATGCAGCATTTTCGAAATCTGTGATTTGAATTTCCATACTGCGAAATTCTACTCTCCAACCTATGTTTGAATTAGGTGGGGGAGGTTTAAATCTCATTGTTTGCCAATTTGTTGATTGTATGTTCTGGATAAAGTTTTTTTCTCAAATTTAGATAGATTAATAATGAAATAAAATCAGATGGAAACAAATGTAAAATACCTCAAAATGATCAGAAACGTTTTCGTCATTCTGTTCCTCCAATGATTCTTTAAAAATAACTAAAGGATCTCTAATAAACAAATGAGCTACATGACGAGCTAAAAGTTCATCAATTCCTACAAATAATAAATTTATCACTTAATAATTAAATGTTAAAAAATATATATATATATCTTAAATTTACTAACCATTATCCATCAAATTTTTACAGATTTCTTTATCGTACACTAAATCCAAATCATTATATTCAGGCTTAAATGTCTTATCCGTAGAGATATAACAATCAATTGAATCATAACGAGATTTATTAATAACAAAACGATTATTCTTAAGAGGCTAAAGAGAGAAGAAAGATATTTAAATGAAAATTCCTAGATGTTGTTCAATTTTTTTTTTTTTTTCGGCAAAATTACGAAGTTTAAAAACCTCTAGACCACGTTCTTCTTTAGTACGATCATCAACACTGCCTGCTATAACATTCCATCTACAATCCACATCTGAAAGATATCCTCTATAAATTGGAGCAGCTGCTGATAAAGCTAACTACAAATAAGAGATGAATTAATTTCCAATAAAATTTAACAATCGGAATAAGATTGATTTGATTTACCATTATAGGACCTATATTAGCCAATTGGTCATAAAGTCTTCTTGCTTCTTCAATATTACAAGCTTGAAAAGTAATCTGAAGGCAACAACAACCCATACCAAAAACCATGGCATCCATATAAATATGGTCAGGTAATGCCATGCCTTCAGCAGCCTCCTTGTCTTCGGGAAATAAATTACGATTTCTTGGAATTGTTGGATCTATAAAAGGTTTTGGAGTTTTTATATCATGAAAAATTGGCATATTAATTGCAACTTTCGATCCTCTGCGTTTTCGAATATTAGCAGTTAATGTCCTAATAATGTTTCAAAATTAAAAAAAATTAACAAATTTCGTAGGATTTATATTATGCAATGACAATAACTTTACTTACGGGAATCTTGCATGTGGATTAATTATTTCATCAGGTACAAATAAGCTTCTTGAAGCTTCACCCTTTGGTTCATAATGAGGCTCCAGGAATTGACCTTGGCAACCAAGTCTTGGAAAACTAGCTATAGTAATTGGAACTTCATTCGGTTTCATATATTTTGCTGCAAGTTGTCTACGATACTTCATGTTTGATTCAACTTGAAGTAATTCCTTCAAAGTTCCTCCATATGGGACCCCTGGAGTACCCTCAAGCATATATGCCCCGTATTCCGGTTTCCATGAAGTTTTAACCATTTTACTAAAATTTAATTTATTTAATTAAGTAATGTAGAAAAATTATAAATCAAATGAAAACTGCGAGTATGATGAAAAATTTACTCAGAATTTGGATTTTTTAAAGCTGCTTCTTCCTCTTTTTGTAATTCATTCAAAATTTCATATAATCTTAAGGATAATTTTGCATTCTTATTTTCTTCATCAAATGCAATTACCATATATTCAACCTATTAGATCAAATTCGATCAAATTAAAAAAAAAAATACTAATATCAAAAAATTTTCATCATTTAAATTTTTACCTCATCACCCCATAATAAACAATCGTTTTGTTTATCTTTTAATTTATGATAAATCCATAAAAATTGCTTTATACCATGATGGCGAATATAATCCGCATAATTTTTTGCTTCTTCCCATGGTAATGGTGTACCCAAAGATAACAAACCCATGTTTAAATTTAAGAAAAAACGAAAACAACTTTTTTATATCTGAATTTTTATATAGTTTTATTGATAATTTTCAAATTTAAAGTCCTTAAAAACAAGTTAAAATAAATATATAATACAGTAATGGGGAAGAAAAGTTTCTACAAGATATTGCTGAATAATCGTAGAACTATCGTAGATCGGCACAACTTTTATTGGTTGATTATCTCACTAGGTTAAATTAAAAATTATCTCACGAGGTAATTATCTCATGAGGAAATTATCTCACGAGGTTAAAAGTTCTTTACAATAAAAAGAGCATCAAGAAAAAATAATTGACCCATAAATTTCCTAATATCGGAATTTTTTTTTTTTTTTTTTTTTTACTTTTTTTTTAAAAATTTTTCATTTTTTTTCCTCTTTCTTTTTTTTTCATTTTTTCTCCATTTAGATTTGGTTTTTTTTCCAAAAGAAAAAATCTGTAAACAGTAGAAGTATTTTTACTTTTTATATTATTATGCATTCTCTAATTTTAGAGAGCTGTTGTTTTTCCGATTATTTTTTTTTTTTTTTTTTTTTTAATATAATAAGTAAATTTAACTTCTATTCTAATAAATATAAATATACAATAAAAAATAGTTATACATAAATTACCAGAACCAACCTCCTTTCTTTGGTTGACCAAATCTAATCACTTGATCATTCTTTTTACTCCATATCAATTCTCTTGTTCTTTGTTCTTTATCAACTTCTTCAACTCTTTCACAAACATTATCTAATAATTCTTCAAACCCTTCCGAATTAACTATTTCTTCAAAAATATTTTGTAAAATTTTTGAATCGGCTTTAACATTATGATGATCATCAACCATAATAATATTATCATGATCTAACATTTCTATCCATTTCGGGTTCCCTGTGATAATTCTACATTCATTTATTGGTAATTTTTTTTCTTCAGATTTAACTATAGCCTTAATTAATTTCCATGCACACGATGCATATTTTTGATTATCAAATGCTGTTTCTTCAAAATCTGGAATTAATCCAATTTGAGTTACAATCCATGATCGTTCTTCACTTTCAAGTTGACGTGCGGTATCTATTTAAAAAAAATTAATTTATTTGAAATTTGAAATTTAGACCTTTTTTTACTTACCCTCAATACTTTCTTCTCTTCCCAATCGATTTACATAGGAAAGACGACCTCCAATACGATTTTTAATAATATCTTCAATTTCTTCATCTGTTTCGCGACCACGACGTTTTTCTTTCAATAATCTTACTGCTTCTTCATGTGTCAACTCATTAATTCTAATCGTGTCCATACGAGATGCATCTCGTTCTAAATCAAAGTGAAATCATTAGAATCCATCGAACATAACCAGAATTTATATAAAAGGAACTAAACTTACTCATCCGTTCATATACACTATAATCATCAGTGTTGAAGATTAATGTAACCAGTCTGGAAGCAGCCCATGATTCTGCACGTTGTTGAAGAAGTTCCAACAAGTCTTCACCCTCTTCGTCATCTCCAAATGAATGAATGTTATTAATGATTAGAACTAACGGACGACCTCTTCTTCTGACATATTTAATTGCAACTGCTTCAACCATATTTAATGCTTTCTCGACATCTAACAACGCAGACCCTAAAAAATAATAAAATTCAATAAATTAATAAAATTTCAAACAAAAGGGATTCAAAAGAAAAGATTTTTTATAAAAAAAACATACCTCTTTCAGGTGCTTCTCTAGCAAAGAGTTGACCAACATAGTCTTCTCTATACGTATAATTTAAAGCTTTTCCTAACCTTGTTTTGAAAACTTCACTATCTGAATGAGCATCGCAAAATACAACTCCATAATGTCCAATTTTTTCCATTGCATTTAATATTAATTGAGTTTTTCCTGTTCCTCTTTCACCTACAAGTAAATAATACTTTGCCGAACCATGACCTGCCACAACATTTACAATTTTTTTTTGTTCTGCTCTAGCAAAAAATGATTCAGATGTTCTTGATTTAAGTAATGGTGCTGGCCTTGTAAATGATAACATAACCTTATGATTTTCATTCCATTCATACCTTATTAAAAAAAAAATTATATATATAAAAAATTTATCTTTTATTTAAAATTAATAATTTTTCTTGATTTATTTACCATGCTTGATAAAACACACCACCAAGACCTACAGCCGCTAAACCCATTACAGTAGTTAAAACGGCATCCATTACACGAGGTGACATGAAAGACTTTTTTGGAGGTGGTAAAGGACGAGAATCAATTTTGCCCACTAGTCTTCTTTTCTTTTTTGGATCAGATTTCTCGTCATCATCATCACCCAGTGCGGTTTCTGCAGAATATTCGACAATTGGCTGAAAAGGATCTATTTTAATGAATCGTATCCGAATGAAGCGTAAAAATAATTTCAATAGCAAATGCGTGCATATAAACAAATTATCAAAAAATTACCAGGAAAAGGATCCCATACTCCTGCAGCATTAGTATCTTGATTCAAATTTCTTTTTTGTAAAAGAGCAGGATTCTTATCATTTACAAGAGAAAACTTTAATTTATCCAACCGAGATACAAGGGTTGTCGAATTTTTTTTATTAGTAGTATATAATCTAGTTAAATAGTGTTCTTTAAATATAAGATTATGTGATTGAAATTTTGTAACACGATTAAAGTGAATCATTGTTTAAAAAAAAAACAATTTCCACCGGGAAAAAGGTCAAAGTAGAAATTTTTGTGAAAAAAATCTATTTGAGCCTAGATGGAAATGCATCATGCAGATCATTTAACCGACAGTGGTTTTGAAGAATGGTAAGCGATCTGATTAGCCAATTGTCTGTATCAATGAGTGAATGAGGCCTATGAAGCGTTACTTTAACATAATGTTAAATGGTAATGAATTCTTAATAAACTTCAAAAGGTTATCGTTTTATTTTAAAATGATAAGATTAATCAATAAAGGTTGTGGAAGAAATTAAACATTGAGCAATTGTGATAAAATAAGTCCATCATAGGGTATTGTAATATTGTAGAATACCATAAATGTAATTAAATTCTTGATATAATAGCATATTTGAATAAAAAAAAGGAGCAGAAAAAGATTATGTATGAAAAAATTAAGTCATGTGACTTATGGTTGTAAAAAATATTTATTTTATTATAGATTTGTTCATTAATAAAATGAAGATTTTTTTTTATGATAAAATTAATCACGGACTTTTCTTTAAAGAAGTAATATTAATAGCTTCCTTGCTTTCGTCTTCAGAAGTGCTTTGTTTACTGATGCTTCCTCTCATAAAATTTACAACCTTATCCTTTATAATTTCAAAAGTAAATGTATAAATTTAGAATAATTATCGTGAAAGAACAAATATGTTTAAAAATTACCTTAACGGTTTCGTAATATTCATGGTATTTTCCAAATTTTTCTTCAAGAGTGGCATGAGCGACATCTTGATTTACACAACTGTAATTTCCAGAAGTAAGTTCAGGAACTGCACATGCTATATCTTCATCTATAAGTGCAGCTGTATTTAAAAATATTTTCAATAAGAATTGATTAATAAAATTAAAATAGCACTTGATCCATTTATAGAAGATATAGGATACCGGATCGGGAACCAGCAGTCATTGCAGTAATAGGATCAGTATTATCGGCCATGATTTAATTATCTCGTCAGTTAAATTTCGTGATATTAGATGAATTTGGCTTTTATATAAATATAAAAAGATTGTTTGTAATGAGTCACCAAAGATTCGATACATTTTATGACATATTATTAGGATTCGTGGATGTCGGCTTTATTTACCGTAATTCTCATACACTGTCATAGAAGGTTAATTTTTAATCTTAAATTAACTGTTTAAATTCGGATCGTCTGATTAATCATTGCGTAACTTTCTAATTTTTACAAAACGGGGTTTATTTATCTGCACAATCCTGATTGTGTTGTATCCTTATAAGCCACCAAGGGAGTGTAACAAGTATAGCACTACATCTGATATAAAAAATATGTCGATATGCAATTTCTTGATCGATTCCTATTTCTTTCTTTTTTTTTTTATATTTTATTTTTTGAGTTTAAGATATAATGGAAGATAGCCAAAGCTTTAATGCGGCGGAATTTTTTGCCAGTGAACCGAACCTTCCAACTATACTGGAAAGTGATGAGAAGTCAAATATTCTCACATCTTCCCCGACCGACTCTCCTCTAGTTAGTCCAGAATCAACCAAGCCTAATGTCGAAGAGCCTAAAAGTAATACGACAACAACTTCCAATGAAACGCGACCAAATTCTCCGGATACAGATAAAACAGCAGTTGAAATAGGAAATGTCTCATCAGAATCACCTATAACGCCTTCAAAAACTAGTAGTGGGTCAAATACTCCAAGTAGTGAAAAGGGTTCCGGGAGTAGTAATAAAAGATCACATTCTACACCTGCTCGTACAGGAATAAATAGTCGTTCGAACACTCCGGATATCAATAGAATATCTCGAAGAAAGAATAGAGAATCCACTTATACTCCAACAGGTTCTCGAACAACTTCTAGAAGTCGTTCAAATACTCCAGATATTTCTAAACGTAAAAATACTACAGGATTCTTACAAAATGATCAACATGAAATGAGACCACTTAGAGAACCACTAACTAGCGCAAACTTTATACATATTGGTGTTCCTGGTGAAATCAATTTTCCTTCTGCTAATATACGTGAATTAACGATTGGAGTTTTTCATATTTTTAATCCAACGGAAAAACAGATCTCTTGGAGTTTAACTGCCGCTGGCAAACCAACGTTTCGTCGTTTAGGTACAGCAACAAATGCAGCAGTAGAAGTTGAAGATGATATTTTCAAAGTAACTAAACCAAGAGGGTTTCTAGGTCCAAAACATGCTGAAAGAGTTGATGTACATTTTTGTCCTTTAGGTGTTGGATCTTATATGCAAACATTTGTATTAGAAGATGCCTCTGAAGCTGGTACAAATGAGGTTGATTCTGTTAGTATGAAATTTCAAGGAGTTGCTACAGAAAATACTTTTAGTGCCTTACTACAAAAACATAAACCTCCAAAAAAAGAAGTGAAATTTGAAGTTGAAGGATCTGAAATTAAAATGCCTCCTACGAGAGTCGGTAAACAAAGATCTATGGGCATTAAAATAACAAATGTTTCAAAAGAGTCAATTAGACTTACTTGTAAAGTTGATACTTCAACTGGCCCTGGAGGTAAATTTGTTTTATCTCTTCCTATGAATAGTGTCGTGGTTAAACCTGGAGGTTTCTCTATTATTCCTGTTCGTTTCCAACCAAGAGCGGAAGGTGAAGTTAAAGGTATCGTCACAATACAATCTATAAATAATGCCGAAATTAAGGTTGATGTCATAGCAAAGGGTGTATTGGAAAATCGTCCAGCTTCTGTGGCTCATAATGTTCCTCATTCATGATTTATTTTATTCTCACTTTAATCTACTTTAACAGTTGACTATTAGATTCCTGAATAGAACTCTTGTTTTTTTCTAACAGCATTATAGATTTAGATTGAATGGACAATTTTTTTTTTTCACACTGTAAATTTTTCTCGTCTTGATAAAGTGGACAGGATCCATTTTTTCATAAATTAAATGTATAGTTTTTCATATATACACATATTTATATATTTTGGTTATTTTGCTATTGTCTATATGATTACAAAAAATTCATGAGTGCACCGGATTCACGATATTCATTAAATCATTCTCTAATTAATATAGAGTTAAAAATCGAGAAATTTAAGATATAATTTATTAATAATTAATGATTAAATTCATACTTGAACTAGAATTATAAATTTTCAATCAATAAAATATACCATTTATAGAAAAAAAGGAAAATCCATCAAATAGAAAGTTATTTAACAAAATTTTTATAATGATCAAATGCGGAGATAGAATCTTCTATTTATTAATACTAAAAATACTAATTTTCATATAACCATACTCTTAGCTTTCAAATAATCAATGAATCACAGTATTTTATTCCAGAAAATTGTATTATTATATATAAAACTCATTCCTGGTATAAATCATAAAATCCATCTATAACATCACCGATGCACGCCTGTAACCACGTATAATTTGTACCTACTCCATCAGGTTGATTTGTAGGATATCCAGTGATATTGTAGTTCTAATGTTGAAATGATCGAACAATCAATACCGAAGTTGACTAAATAATATTTCGTCAACAAAAATGCGATGATAGCAGTTATATATAATGAATCGATTCAAAAATTACATTTGATAATATCTAAGTTTGGCATTAATAAATAAGCTAATTGCATTAATTAATTAACCTTTCAAAGAAGAAATACTATTCTGTCTACTTGCACTACTTGCAATATTAGCAAATGGAACACTTTCAATCTTATAACCCTCTCCAACTTCAATGAGACCTCTTCTAAGAATATATTTTTCATAAATCTCATAATCAAATTTTTTACTTGTTTCGTAAGCTTCTTTAATAGATGACCTCCATTTTTCATGCTTTAAGTCGGACTCTGATTTCGAATCAAAATCAGCATCTTTAATTAAACTAAAAAAACTATCTAACGCTTCAGTACAATTATCAAGATTTTCACGCGGTTCCCATCTAAAAAATTAACGTGAATTAATAATCAATTTTGTGATTAAACAAATAAATCGAACGATTTACTCACGTAGGTTTGGTATAACCTTTCCATTGAACTAGAAACATTTCACGACCCTATGATAAAAAAAAAGTAATAGAGAATTAACAACATAATGATATTTTATAGTAATAATTCAAAAGAATTTTTTTTCTTTACATTTTCAAATTTTTTTTGAATTATGGAATCAACTTCATAAGTTTCTATTAGACCATGTCTATGCCTTGAAAAGTCATCAATTTCCACTTCTTCTTCGGTTTCTTCAATTTCAACTTCGGGTACCGTCATTTCAACATCTTCATCTTCTTCATCTTCTTCTAATTCTTCATCCTCTTCAAATTCTCTTTCATATTCATCTTCCATATCTTCATCCTCATCTTCTTCTTGATTTGATGGGTCATAAGTCGATTCGTCCCATGTTTTTGATCTCTTACCTACAATAAAAAAGAAAAATCAATAAATAGAGATTTTTCAGATTTATGAATCATTGTTTATTACCTCTTCGTAGTCTTTTAGAGCTCATAATTTAATTATCATAAAGAATTTATTTTATTAAACAAAAAAGAAAAAATTGAGTGAAAAATATTTTCAGTTCGAACTAAATAAATACATTTTTTTAAAAGCACGTGATATGTAAGGTGTCGATCACGATCACGAGAACATAAACAAAATATCATCTAATCATAATCAAAAACGACGATTTAAAAACGGGTGATATCCATATTAATAAAATGAAAACTTTTTTTTTCTACAGAAATGTTTCTTGTTAATTTCAAGATCAGAATCCAAACTTAATTAATAAAACAAGTTTTTTAAACCACATAACGTAAAAAATGATAAAAATAAGGGATCAAAGAAGAATCAAAGAAATGTTTTCAATTATAAAAACCTAAATATTTTGTATGTATTAAGAAATTTCTGATAATTTGAAAAGTTTATCATGTGATTTTCTAGCGGGAAGTTAAAAATGTTTATCACTTAACAGTTAAAGTATGCAAGTATTAAAAACTTTCTTAATATGCGTCATGTGGACTTGCAGTGGAGAATTTATACAAACCTTAACAAAATGAATTTGTTATAATACACAATTTGGGATTATTATACTCAGGAATAATGAATGACAAAAATAGATTTGCACGTACAGCATTGACATGCTACGTATAATGCTTTACGCGAAATTTTGAAAAGATTAAATATTTAATAAATTTCTCTTTCCTTACGTTTGATATCATAATTTGCATAATTTGCATTAATATCGATACAATTATTATATATTTTTTTCTTCCAAGTGTTAAAAGTAAATTATTGATCACTTATGCATCAATTTTTTTAAACTCACATACTCAAATTTACGTCACCCTTAAACATATATTATTTTACGTTTCCAATAATAATAATAATGAACGATTGATGAATTGATGGGACATTAAAAAAGAAAAACATTACCAAAGATACCTGTAATTTAACGAATAATATATTTAAACATAATTATTATTTTTTTTTTAATTCCGTAAAATTGGACTTATAATTCTCTTTATATAAATTTATTACCTTTCTCCTCTCTGAATTTGAAAAATTCATCTTTTTCTGGTGGAAGGAGTCAACATTCTTCTTTTATCACGTGCATATAGTGATTTAATATAACAAGCTACAGAATCGCAATTTTGAGTATCAACACTTATTGTAGTTATTGTAGTTATTGTAGTTATTGTAGTTATTGTGAGTTTATTTAATTTTATTACGAGTCTAATTTATAATTACAGAACAAAAAAAAGTTTCCTTGTTCTGATTATACATTCTTTTTCTATATTGCTTAGATTTTTTTAACTTTAACGAATGTCAAGAAATAAAGAATATTTAGAAACGGTAGAAGAGATAAAAAATACGTCGAATGAATTTAACGGCTGTAAAATCAAATATCAGCGATATACGCGGAATCAAGACAATTTCGTAACTTCTCCCGTTAACACTGTCAAAACCGTTAAGGCTGTTAAGGGTTTCTCGCCTATATCCAATTCTTCTTCAACTGTTGAAGGAATCACTTACAAGGTTCCAAACGTTCCAACTGAAGAACAAAATATGTCCTATAAACCAATCAAAGGATATTTTGAACAAAATAATAATGAAATTAATTTAAATGAAAGGGCATATTATCCAAACTTTTATCAATATATTCCTCAAGCTACCTTATTGAGTAACAACGGAAACGGAAATCAAAATTATTCCTTGAATAATCCCGATTATGTAATGGCCTTTCCTTCAAATTCAACCTCCAGAATTGATCCAAGTTTATTGAATTATGACAATAACATGACAATGCATTACGTTCAACCTTATACATCATCTTTACCTGTTGGGAATAATCCAGTTTCAAATTGTCAAGCATTGTATTGGAATGAAGAAGCTGTACAAACACAAACGGCTTGCCATATACCATCTTACTATGGAACAATTTCTGGAAGCACACCTGCTTTGGGATATGAAAATTTGGCGCAGCAGATATCTGGAGAAAATCGTGTGTCCAATGCTCCATTAGTCACGAGAGATTATATGATCTTGACAGAAGCACATCCTAATAAGGGGAAGAAAAAAAGAGGTAGAAAACCAGAATCTGATTATTCACATATGTTTCCTTCCTTGTCATCTCCCACTTCTACCGATGGAATTCGTCAGGGTGAGATCGCCCATTGTTCAAATTGTGGAGTATTCGATACTCCTGCTTGGAGACGTGATTTGCATGGAATCGCTTTGCTATGTAATGCTTGTGGACTTTAGTAGGTTTAAAATTTCAAAATTTCTATGTAGTTAATTTATTATAATATATAATAATTTATAATGTAATGTATAAATTATTATATTTATTAAAAGTTTAAAAAACAAAGGAGTTCATCGTCCGACAGAAATTGCTCCGGACGGAACCATCCGTCTTATGCGATCACAACGTCCAGAACAAGAATTCGCGTGTTACAATTGCGGTACACGTAATTCTCCTTGTTGGAGAGGACTGGAAGGTCAAAAACTTTGTAAGTTCCTCACTTTGTAAGTTTTTTATATTATGAATGTCATAATGCATATTTTTTAAATTTACATACTTTCGTAATATTAATTTCGTGTATTTTTGATACCATAAGGTAATAAATGTGGACTACTTATAAAATAAAATGGATATGCACGACCTCTAAGTTCACCTTCAATCGTAATGTATCATTCTCGAAAATCTTCTAACTCCTGCTGAATTGCAAGATTTTAAAATTTCCGTGTTATTTACAGACATAGTAAACTATTGTATATAATAATTCGATTTCCCCAATCATTTTTTCTTTACTATGTCCGGAGATGTGTAATATATGAACTGTATTATTCCGACATATATAATATTGAAAAAAAGAATTCTTTGATTAATATTTTAATGTATTATTGTATTATTTTATTTACCGGATAGTTTATTAAGAACCTAAAACTGAAGTTACATCTTTTCAGTTTTTAGAATATAATTTGTATAGTTTACAAAAAGATTAAAAAGATTTCAAAAGTCAATTAAATATATTTACATTTTTTTATCATAACATAATATATCACGTGAGATGTGAATACGCCACGTGCACATTTATGCAGTTTATGTAGTACGAGTATTGTGGCTGCTGGTTTTTGATTGTAGGAAATCGTGGAACAAACGGAAATATAAATAGAATATTTATTGGATTTACTTTTTTGGAACTGATTTTTTTGTAATTTCGTAATGTGATTTGATTGGAAGTTTTATTGCAAACTTTTTCAGAACTTGACTTATATATAAATAAATGCACTTATTCGGTATTTTGAGATAAACCTTTTTTTTTGATCTTAAAATATTTGAGACGATTCTAATTAAAATGACTCTATCAAAGTTTATTTCTTCTTCCATAGCCCTTTCACTTTTATTAAGGAACGTTTATGCACATCCTCACGAAATTTTGAGTGTTGGTGCAACTAATGATCCTATTGACGGAACCTTATGGACGCATATACTTTTTATGTTTTTAGCGTTTGGGATAATATTCCCAACAGGTATGAAAATATATTTAAAGAAAAAAATAAAAACTTTGTTTTAATTGATCCTAACAAATAACCATTATTCTAAATTTAAAAAGGTATGGTTTTGGGAATTAGTAAATCTAGGTGGCATGTTCCCGTTCAAATATCAGGAGCAGTATTAGTATTGATTGGCTTTATCCTTGGTCATGCTCATGAAGGAAGAGAATTTAGTGGGGATAATGTTCATAGAGCTTTTGGTTCGACTGTTATCTTTACTTTGACCTGTCAAATTATTCTTGGTATATACTTAAAATTACATTTAGAAAAAGGGTTTAATAAACGAATTAGACCAATTGCTGTTAAATTCCATCAGATCATTGGAATAATTGTACCTTTTATTGGTTATATACAAATGGTATTCGGGGTTATAACTGCAGTTGGATGGTGTCGGTGAGTAGAAATTTTTTGTGTTATAAAATCGGAATATTTTTATTAATAAATTTTATTTTATTTATTTTTTTTTTTAAAAAAAAAAAAAAAAAAATTAATAGAGACGATCATATAGGTCAATGTCTTGCACATTTTATTATGGGATCTTCATTTATTGGTTATGGTATCTTGTTGATATTGTCCTTAAGGTTTGGAAGTGAATGGCTTCGAAGCAAGGGTAAATCACAAGATTATTTTGATAGTTGCATGATTACAGTTTGGGGATTCGTAAACACATGGACAGAACACAGGTTTGTATTTAAATATATTGATTTTATAATAATATCTTTTACTCACGATAAATTCTTTTATTGCATCTGATTTGTTTCTTAGATGGAACTCAGTAAGTGTTTAATGAAAATAAATCAATTTAATTATTACAATATTTATTAAATTAATCTTTTTTTTTTTCTTTTTTTTTAAAGCCATGGTCCCATAAAGATTATCAACATACTGCACTTGGAATAATGTGGTGGGCTGGTGGCATGGTTGGAATTTATCTCTCAAGAAATGGAAAGAGAAGCATCATCCCAGGACTCATAATCTTTTTTACCGGTTTCGCCATGAGTGCTCATGGCCAAGCATCGGAAACATCCACCAAACTTCATGCAAATTTTGGTTATGCATTAATGAGTGCAGGATTGGCGAGAATAGTTGAAGTTTGCTTTTTTGCAAAAAATAATGGACCAATCAAGATTTTCCAACAATTGCCTCCATACGTAAATATAATAATTCATTTTATGTTCTTTAAAGGTGGTTATGCCAAAATATTAATAAAATTTTTTATGTCATAAACAGCTTTTGATTCTCTCCGGTTTGTTGTTCATGGGAGCGAATGAGGAGCAAATCTATTATTTGGATGCTGAAATCATTGATCCATATTCTTATAGTTTAATTCACGTCGCAATTTCTTTCCTTATATTCCTTGGTGTCAATTTACTTATTGATCTTTATTGGAGATCAGGAAAAAATGATGGCGAACCAAACTATGAAAAATATGATAAATTATCTAATAATCATAATACACTTCCACTCAATAATTCAATGTCACAAACTGGACGTACCGTTTTGAATACAAATCAAGATTCTCCAACATCAAATAATTATGAATTTAATTCACTTTTAGTGCATAATAATCAGTTTGATGATGATGATGATGATGTTGAAAAATAAATTATGTATAATAGAATTAATTATATGACACAAAAATAATTTATAGACTTCAATACTTATTTTATTAATACGTAAAGGATTTATTTTTTTTTTTTATTATACGTAATTAATATTTTATGAAAAAAAAAGAACTAATAAAGAAATAATTAAATCAATTTAAGAAATTATTTTAAATGATCTTCGATATTGTTGGTTTTTTTTTTTTTTTGAGGGGTTAAATTTAACGTTTCACGACTTTGATATATGAAAAAAAGGAGTCATTCGATATTTTTAGTTAACAAGATATTCAAGATATTTTGATTTAGTTATAAAATCCGAATTTAAAATATTAATTTGTTGGTTTCGATTAGTATTGATAATCCTTAACCGAAGTAACTTCTTTCGAAAAAAAAAAAAATTTGAAAATCTGCTTCTCAATTTTTGATCAAATTCTGTGTCTGTTTATTTTTTTCAAATATTAATTTTTTTTAAAATTGTCACATAAATAAATACGCATGTGGAAGATCATGTCTTGGCATCCGGTACATCCGGTACTACTATATAATAATTAAATTTTTTTATAATTCATCATTTTAAGAATAAATATACCAATTAAAACTAATTTATAATAATCAAACTGGAACATGCCAAGACATCTTACACTATACCAAATTTAGCCTGCCATACCGCTATTGGATTTTCGTGTCCGTCCGTCAAGTGTTACCTTTTTTATTTCTATTCTTTGAGGAGAACTGTATGCATTTGAATTCTGTGATATGTTGTTTACTTGGTTTGCCACACATTTTATTTTGTAAGATAAGTATTCAATTACATAAATACTGTTTTTATATAATATAAAAATAATAGTCAATGAAATGATAAATACTAATTTTCAAATTACTGTACAATTCAATAATGAGATATTTTTATTTTTATTTTTTTTTTAAAAAAAACGGATAAATAAAAGTAGATAATAAAATTTAAATTACTAAATTATTGTTTATATTAATTACTAAAAAAAGAAAAATCCTAAGAATGAATTATCAATTAATAAAAATTTTTTTCTTTTTTTTTTAAAAAAAAAAAATAAAATTATAATAAAGAATATAATAATTTCAGAAGCACATGAATTTGCTTCTCTTAGCCATAAGTTCTTCCATTTGGTTTTCAAGCTGCCGTCTCGCTTTTTCAGCGTTTTCTTTTGCTCTTCTTTCTTCTTCCAATACATTTTCTATAACTTTCTTTTCTTCTTGTACAGATGATTTCGCATTTTCAAATAATGCGGTGGCCTCATCCAGTTGTGATCTCAATTTCTTTATTTGATCTAAAAGATCTGTCTTTTCGCGCTGCAATATTTGCAATTGTTGTTTTGCAACGCGTAGATTTGTTTCATTTTCCTTCAATGAACTCTCTAGATTTCCGATGTGATCGCTGTTTTCGATATTATCACCTTCTATCTTGACAATTTTTCTATGTAATTTTTGAATCTCTTGCACAAGTTCTGCCGGCTGAGCATTATTAATGTCAAAGCCAGGTGTAGGCGAGTTAAAATTTCTTGGAGGTGGACTAAGTGCGCCAAATCCATGTGTGGGTGACCTTGAACCTGGACTTGTTGGTGAATTTGCCATTAGTAACGATGATAAAGAATGAGATGGTGGCGGTGTTGGTGGAGGAGTCATTGGATAATTCGCAACTGAAGCAACGTTTGATTTTTTATTCTTTTTCTTCGCAGTTTCTGAAAGATTTGATGCCGATCTGCGGAAACCACCAACGGCACCGACAGCGTCAAGATCAAGCATTCCACTGTTTGAAGATGCATCATATGATGAATCATCATCTGTGCGAGTTTCAAGTTCAAATATTTTCTCTCTAAGAATTTTAATAAGATTTTCTTGTTCCATAATAGCATTTTCTTGTTGCAACAGTTTTGTTTGTAATGAACCGTCAAGGCTTGTGGTTCTTGGACGTGTAGGGGAGGTTGGTTCCGATTCTTGAGTTGGCATTGAATTGCGCTTTACGGTATTCTTGATTTCATTTTTTTGAACTTCTTTTCCTAATTTATCATTAATTTCCAATAATTTTGAAATTTCTTTTTCCATTTCTGTTGTGTTTGTTGTAGATTGTTGTTTTAGACTAGATACTTCATTTTCAAGTTCAATTATTTTGTTATTTAATGCGGAAAGTTGTAAAGCGGTTTCATTTCCACCTTTTCCTACTGACTCTAATTGTTCTAACAAAGATTTTATCTTTTGATCAAGTTTACTTCGTTCTTCATTAGACACAGAATTAGCTTGTTCCAAACCTTCTTTTTCGGCTTCAAGTTCTCGGATCTTTTCTTTAAGATTTTTGACTGATCCATCGCTATTAGAAGCATCATTTTCGAAAAGTTTGATACTCATAAGCTCACTTTCCAAATGTTTAATCTTTTCACTTAAGGCATTCATTCGAGTTTGAGCTTGTATAATTTTTGATGTAAGATTTTCATTGGTTTTACGTAGACTATTATTAACTTCAGTTAATTTTGCAAATGCTAAATTAGATGATTCATCATCTTTGTTTTTTGATTTTTTGAGAGATAAATTCCTGTTAAAAATTATTGAACGTCTTGATTTTGTTTTATTTGTGTCATTTTCCGGTTTCTTTTGTTCATTTGAAAGCACATCAGCGTCTTCATGTTTTGTGTTAGGATCAGAAAATTCTTCCGCTAGAGAACCTAGTTCCTTTTGAAGTTGTTCGACTTGTTGTAATAAATTTTCATTCGTTTTCATTTGATCTGATTTATCGGATTCAAGTTGTTTTGTTATATTTTCTAATTCTTCAACACGTTCGCGATGCATTTTTGATTCATTTCTAGCCTCTTTAAGCTGATTTGTTAAATTTTCAATTATACTAGAATTATCTGTATTATTATTTTGTAAAGATGAATCATCATTTTCACTAATTTGATTTTTTAATTGTTCATATTGTTTCTTAAGAACTTCAATTTCAGCAGTTGCTTCCTGAAGTTTAGAAATTTCCTGATCCCTATTAATTATTGCTTCTTTGAGTTGTGATTCAAGTGATTTAACTAGTTCTGTTTTTTCAGCTTCAGAATTTCTAACTTTTTCAAGCTCATTCTTAATTTTGTTCAAATTATCATTAAGTTCGTCTAAATTACTTCCTTCATATTTAATTTTAAATTCATCAAGTTTCAACTCTAATTCTTTAACACGTTCGTATTCAGTATCTTTAGACTTTTTTGCATTTTCAAGCTTAGCTTGAATCTTTTGAACAGTCTCTTCTAGCTCTTGAATAAGGGCATTTTGTGTAGACAATGTTTGTTCTTTTTCAATCAAAGTACAATTTATTTCCTTTAAATTACTTTCAAGTTCACTTATTACTTGAGTACGTTTTTGATCTGTAACTTTTGCCCTTTTCAATTGTGCTTCGACTGTAGCAAGTTTATCCCTAAGTCTTTTGATTGTTTTCATATCAATTTGTGATGCATTCTCTGCTTCAACGAGTTGCATTTGAAGATTTCTTATGATGGATTCTAAGTTTGAAACTGCTTCTTTTTGTTCTATTTCCTTAAATTCGAGAATCTCTGTTAACTCTTTATTACGTAAAACATATTGATCTCGTTCTTTTTCGATATTCTTTATCTTCTTTCCAAGTTTTGCCATAAGTTCATTCTGTGTTTCCATTTCAAGTTTAGAACTTGTTAATTGATTTCGAAGTGTAATAATATCTTTCTGTCCAGAAGTTCTTAATTGTTCGATTTCACCTTCCAATTTTTTGATCTTCTTATCTCCCTCGTCTTGTGTATCTTTCAATGTTTTGGATAAATCTTCAAGTTTTTTCGTACTGGAATCGTATTTTTCGGTTTCTAAACTTAATTCAACTTTCGCATCTTTAAGTTCATCTTCTAATGTAGAAATTTGTGAACCAAGATCTTTTCTAACACTATCTAATTCTTTGGTAAGAGAATCTTTGGAAAGAGTCGTTTCTTGAAGTTGAAGTTGTAATCGTTCAATAGTAGACTTTTGATCTGAATCTAATTCTTTTAATAGTTTAATCTCATCTTTAATCATTTCCAATTTTTCAGATTCTTTCTGTGCTATTGAAAGCTTAGATTCTAGATTTTGAACTGTCCTCTCTAAATTAGATTTAATTTTTCTTAATTCAGATAGTTCATCTTTTAGTGGAGTAACATCATTGTCCTTTTGTGCACGAGCTAATTGAGCTTCAAGAGTTTCAATTTTTTTAAGATTTTTAGTTTCTTGGGCACGTAAATTTTCAATTTCTTCTCTTAATTTTTTTGTCTTAACTGACGTTTCATTAGCTAATTGATTTTCCTTTTCAATAATATTACGGTTCGCTAATATTTTGGATTTAACATAATCAATCTTCGTCCTTAACGATTTATAGTCCTTTATTGATTTTTCAAGTTTCGATTCAAGGTCAATAATTTTCTTCTGTTGTAAACTTTCTGTTTCTTTTGATGTCATTAATTCATTTTTTAATTTGAAAACATCATCATTAAACCGGCCAAAACTTTGTCTTGAGTATCGAGATTCTAAAACTGTAATTCTTTCCTTTTGCAAAAGTTCAACATGACGTAAACGTTTCATTTCTTGTCGGATTTTCGTTTCTTCAGCATCCAACATTTTCAAACGTTCTATCGCAAAAGATTCTTTTTCTTTAGAATTTCTTAGTTCTTTCTTTACGCTTTCTAACTCGGATTGTAAAGCTTCATTGGTACCTTTATTACTTTCAAGTTTCTCCATGTCAATTCGAAATTGTTTCATTTGTTTTTGCATTTCTTCATCGCGACTCTTAATCTCAGAAAGCTGTAATCTTAATGATGATGCTTCAGCTTCCTTTTCACTTAATTTTTGTTGTATAACGTCTTTATCAACTAAATCTTTTTTCAAAGTTTCAATAAGTTCATATTTCTCTTTAATATCCGACTTAAGTTTATCAAGTTCAGATTGCAACTCTATCATTAATTTTTGTTCATTTTGTATTGAAAGGTTTTCTTGAAGATTCTCAAGAGCTATTCGTGTGGGTTTCATTGTAATTCGTGAAGTTCGTAAATATTGTGCTTCTTTGGCTTTTGTTAACTGACTTTCAAGTTTTTGAATTTTATCTTCTAATTCTTTAATGTTTTCATCTGGGGTTATAATTTCATTTTCCTTAGTCATTTCAGAATTGGTTATTACTATGCTATTCTTCTCCTCAAGAGCTTTGCGATGAATCTGTCTAACTTCATGAAGTTCAATTTCTAAATTACGAATTTTATCTTGTAATTCAACAGTTGGTAGTAAAAGGACCGCGATTGTATGGCTCTTTGCTTCAATTTCAGCTTGGAGTTTTTCTACCTTTAATTTAAGAGCAATAATCTCTTCATCAGCTTCCTCTTCCGGTTTCTGTTGAGGCTCTTGATTATTTTCTGACTTTTCTGAGGAATCATTTTGTTTATGTTCTTCTTGTGCTTTTTCAAGTTGCTGTTCCAAATATTTAACTTTAGTTTGTAATTCGTTAATAAGGTTTTTATTTTCTTCGTTGTTTTCATCTGTTTTCTTTTGATCCTCTTCAATTATTAGACATAATTTCTCGCGAAGTTCACGGATATTTGATACTAATTTTACAACTTGGATACCTTTTTCACGAATTTCTTTTTCACGTTCAGAAATAGATTCAAGCACACATTTTTGTTCTTCTCGAAGATTTTCTACCTCTTCACGTAGACGTTTTATTATTTCATTTTCATCAATTTCAGCTATTTCATTTATATCACCATTATTATGCGTAATTACTGACATAACCTCCAATTGAGCTAATGTATCACGTTTCTTTATTTCTTCCCGAAGTTCTTCTACAACTTCCAAAGTTTCTCGATGAGTAATCTCTAAACGTGCGAATCCTTGTTTAAAAACTTCCAAACCATTCGATTTATCATCATATAATAATTCAAGTTGCTGAATTTCTTTCATAAGTTTTTGAACAACTGCTTCATGAGTAAGATCTTTCTTCTCTTTATTATTCATCTCTGTTGATAAGGATATAGCCCTACGATGTAATGTAGGCGTTCTTAAAGAATTGGGAGATGGCGTTGATGGAGACATTGGAGTTGTTGGACTAGAAGGAGAAGAATCGAATAAATCCGAATGATTCAGTCTTGCCTCAATCAGTTGATTTTGAAGTTCATGAATTTCTTGTAAACATCCTTCATATCTAGTTTTGATATCATCAAACTCAATTAGAGTTTGCTCATTTACTTTTTGTAATTCTTCTACTTTTGTTTCAAGGGTTGAAATAATTAATTTTTCTTGATTATTCGTGGATGTTGAATTAAGCGACGTTGAAGAATGTGACGTTAAATCAGTGTCATTTTTACTTCCATTATCTTTTAATCTTCTTAATAATTCTAATTCATGTACTAGTTCATCAACTTTCTTTTCAAGTTGCAAAATTCTATGATCACGTTCTTCAAGTTCATCTCTTAATAATCTCATGTCTTCTTCAGTATAGGAAGATTTCATTTTTGATTCTAACTCAAGAAAAGCTTCCTCCCTTTGTTGTAACTTTATTTCAAGTTTTTCAACAGTCTCCTCAAATTTTGTAACTTGTTGATCACTAGATGAAAGACGTGTTTCCAGTTCAGTAATATAACATTGAGTATTAGTTCCATTCGTTTTCAATTGAGAAATAATATTTTTTAATTCATTGATCTTTTCTTGATCCTTATTTTGTTCTTTGGTATAATTTTCAAGCCGGAATTCAAGCTCTTTAATATATTGTTCATTCACAGTTTCACGTTGACTAAAATTTGCAACTTTACCCCTAAGATCGTTTATTAAATTAAAGTTCTGATCATTAATTTGTTCAGCGTATTCTAATTTACCCTCTTGTTCTTGCATGATGGTTTCGGTATGACTTGCGGCAGCACGTGATAAGGCAAGCTGACTTTCAAGTGAAGTAATAGATTTTTCATATTCTTCAATTATAGGTTCTACAGCTTTTCGAAATTCAGCAGATGATGACAAATCTTCTTCTTCCTCTTTGATAACGTCCAATTGATTTGATGATTGTCCATTATTGGGTTTTGTTAAATCGATATCTTGATGTAAAGCAAGTTCGGCACTTGTCATGGCATATCTTTGTGATAGTTCGGAATAAGAACGTTGCAAATCTCGAAGTTGGTCTTCTAATAAATCAATATCCTTGTTCTTTTTTGAAGAACTTTTTGTTTCAACATTATTAAGAGATGATCTTTTAGAACTATCTCCTCTTTGAAAATTAATTGGAGTACTTCGACCGGATTCAATCGCGTACGTATCATCATAAAAATTTTCCGAATTAGATTTTAAAGATTTAATTTCTGATCTAAGTTTCATCACTAAAGATTGTAAATGTTCTAAATCATTCCATCCCGTTTCTTCTTGATTTATAGTTGCTGAATTTTTAATATTACGTGCTCGATTAGCATATTTAAGTGTATTTATAGTTTCATTTAAGTTATACTCGGTTGGTGAAACGCATGCGATCATCAATGTGCGTGCATTACCACCAAGAGAATCTTGTAATAGACGAGTAAGTTTAGAATCTCTGTATGGTACATGTGTAGTGTGTTTTGCTTTATTAGGATCTCCTAAGGCAGATATTACATTTCCCAAAGCTAATAAACCCGAATTAATCGAAATACCCTCTTTCGCACGATCTCCAACTGCGGAAGTACGTTTCAGCTACAAAAAAAAAACATATATATTAAATATATAATGATCATTATAATAATATAAATTATATCTAAGCAACTTACTCGTTCACTACCCGCCAAATCCACAAAATTGAATTTACTCGTTATTGTCATATTTTCAACATCATCTAAACGTTTACTCATCCTTTGTTGTGTTCTTGATGGAGGACGAGATCCATTCATTCGTGGTGTTCCAGAATTACTATTAGTTGGAGACATTGGTGAACTTAATGATTTCTGTTGTTGTGACATGACAACTGAAAATATAGCGTGTGATCTAGAAGATTGTGAGTTCATGTCCGTAGAACCAACTTGTCTATTTAAAGATCCACGGGCTAGAGTACTATATAATGTGGGAATATGAAATTTTTTAGATAAATTACTTTTTTTTTTTAAAAAAAAAAAGAAAGATCATTGTACTCACGTCATAACTTCTTCGACATTATTAACTTTTATTTCTTGTAATCCACTCCAAAGAATGTTTCCCTTTGAATCTTCTCGAATCATTACTTGAGGCCTTTCTCCATCAACATTTTGTTCACCCAATAAATCAATTAATTCTTCATTATAAATTTCAACGAATGAAACTTTGATTGTAAATTGTCTCATTTTATATTGGGAAAAATTCATAAGAGAGAAGAGTGTCTCCATAGCACGAGGAATTATTCCTTTAGATTCTGATGATATAGAAGAATTATCATTTGTTCCCATCGTATGTGTTTTACCTGATGAAGTTTGACCATATGCTAAAATTGTTACATTATATCCTTTACGATTAAAAAAAAAAATAATAATAATAATTTAAAAAATAATAAAAAAAATTAATTAATTTTCATAAGTGCGGCAAAAAATAATTTAATTCCCTTGGAAACTTCCGAAAAAAAAAAAATTTTTTGATTACTACCTTCTAAAAATTGGTCTATTAAATTTAATATCGCATTATCAAATACTTCTTGTTGCATCGTTTCCGGACCAAATACATGATCGAAGGTAAATGTTTGTGATTTTTTATCATTTTGATGTACAATAACTTGATTTGAAGTATGTGGAGATGTCGTAATTACTTGACGTTGAAAGCGTGTCGGTAAATTTGTATCTTCATTTGTTATAGGTCTTATGCGAAGTGCTTATAGAAAAAAAATTAGTTTAATTAATTTTTTTTTTTATCGAATATTTTTGAAAAAAGAAGTTTAGCAAATAAAAAAAGAAATAGTTCACTGTATATTGTAATTTGATAACCTTACCTACTTGTACCGAGGTTTTTTCGGGACTTTTTTCAAAGGAATTCATTAGGTAGACGAATCTAAAGCTATGATAAAATTTGAAGCTTTTTGATCTCTACAATAACCTAAGAGTCAATGATCTATCTAACGCTTGCAAATGAGTGAATGAATGAAATAAGATGAATAAATGCTTTTTTTTGTGATTTTTATTAATTTCTATGTATATTGTGTTATTATTATTATATGTATGAATGAATACGAGCCTGCTCGCTTTGTGAACGATAATGATAAGAATTGATATATGTACAACTTTTACGGAAAAAAAGAAGTTCCAATAAAATAAAAAAAAAAAACTTTTTCAAATTAGTATTCGTGTAAGAAGAAGAGCGATAACCCGATTATATATTAATATTATATTAGGATAAACGTTAAAAGAAAGAAACAAACTAAATAATAATAATATGTATTATATATTTATATAAATGAAAATTATTATTACTTTTTTTTTTTAAAAAAAAAAAAAAAAAAAAAAAAAAAGATGGAAGTCGAAATTTTATAATTAAGTATTTGAAAAGGGTTAATAATTATAGGGAATGAAAAAAGTTTTTTTTTTTCAGGAAAGAGCGGATCTAAACTTCAAAAAAAAAAAGGTTCGTTAAGGTAAAATTTTTAGACGAAAAATTAAAGTTACACTTTTTCTGTAAAAAGAAACCATTTTACAATCTTAATTTATTGTACTAACAACTTAAGGGTCTTTTTTTGAAATGCACAAATAAACGATTGGTTTAACTTAATATAAAAAGTTAGTCTTCGATCACTTTAAACTTGTAAAAATAAGTATATGTATATATTTTTAACTATTGTATGCGGATTTGTTTACTTTAAAGCAAACAATCTTTACACTTTTTCATAATGCTATTTGTACATTTCTTAACACAAATTAAAGTAATATCACACTACATAAAAGATGATTCATACTTTTTATCGTAGACGAATTAAAAAACGAATTAATATTTTATTAGGGAATAACCTTTATCTTGTAGATTCCACGCTGAAAACGGTAAAATTCAACAAAATTACAAAAGTACAAAATATATAAATATATCCATACGATTTCCACCACATAAATTAAGAAAACATTTGATGATCATTATTAACTTTATCCCGGAGATACAGATACCGCATTAATTATTAATTTATTAATTTACTACGCCGTGGCGCAGAAATTTATAAACTCATGGTATGATAAATTTAATGATTTATTTATCACTAAATAGTAAATTCATCAATTTGAGTAATATTTATCTTTTCTTTTTTTTCTACCTTCCGTGATGTCTCAAAAAAGTTCTTTACATTATTATGAAGATGGAGATGTCATTTTAATCGTACAAGATACCGCCTTTTGTCTTCATCAGAATTACTTGTCCATGGCATCAAAAGTATTTCGTGACATGTTCTCCTGTGCTACTTCGTACATGGCGGATGAATTACATGAACTACCCCGTATAAATATTACGGATACTTCATCTTTGGCCTTTGAGAATTTCTTATCATTTATTTATCCGCAAAAATTTGTTTCAATCACGTGGGATAATATTGAAGAATTTTGTCGAATTGGCGATAAATATGAATTCAGTTCTGTTCTGGAAGCCGCAGAAAAATTCTTGGAATCTCATTTTCATGAAAATCCTCTACTTTCTTTGATATTATCTGATCGATATTATTTTAATATCGTTTATAAAGAATCATCAAAATTGGTCTTAAATGAACTTCAAAAATATCGTCAAAATTCTCAATTTCTTTTACTCTCGTACAAGACAAAATCTGCTATATTTGAGAGGTATCTCGATTTCACCATTTCTATCACAACAATTCGTTCTTTAAAACAGCGTAAAAATTTTAAACATCATTCTTTATGTTCTCTCACAAAACATGACCAAGAAATTAATAAATGGTATGAAACTTTTTTTGAAAAATATGAAATGTTGAATAATACTAATAATAATAATATTATGTTATCACCATCAAAATCAATAAGCATCATAATAAAATGTTTGATGGAATTTTGGAGTGATTATATTAACGGTACTTGGAGTGAATGTGATTATAGATTTTTCAATGATTATTTGGCTGAACAATTTGTTAGTCATTTTGGGAATTTTGAACCATTAAAATATGAAAAATCAAAAAAAGATGCTGAGCATTATATGTTCATAGAATTGAAAGATTAGATTGGATTAGCTTGGAGAATTTCTTGGAATATTTTTTTTTTTTTTTACTTGGCTTTTCTTGGTAATAAAAATCATGAGAATATAGAATCATGAGAGTAATCAGATGATTTAATTATTTATAATAGTTTAAAATTGACTTGCTATTTTGGTTACGATTTTCTGAAATCATTCCCAAATTAGATACTCTAAAAAATTACTTTATAAATAGATTAGCATATTTTTTTTGAAAATTTAATATAACGTATTTCTCTCTCATACTATTGAAAATGTTAAAAACTCAACAAAGCACAGTTCATTATTATGAAGACGGAGATATATTGGTTACTGTTCAACACACGGTATTTCGTCTTCATCAAAATTTTTTAGCTATGGCTTCAAGAGTATTTGAAGACATGTTCGCTTACGCCACAAAATCTGATATCAACAATGATAACAATAATAATGTATCATGTCTCACTTTAACTGATACTTCTGCTGCAGCGTTCGAAAATCTTCTTACGTTCCTTTATCCAAGAAAATATATTCGAATAAATTGGGAAAATGTTGCTTCATTCTTAGAAATTGGAGATAAATATGAAATTGTTGTTGTAATTGGAGCCTCAGAAGAATTCTTACAATGTCACTATATGGAGAATCCGCTCATTGCATTCGCTTTAGCTGATCAATATGATTTTAAATTTGTTTATAAAGAATCATCAAAACTTGTTTTAAATAATTTACCGAGATTTAAAACTTCTCCAGATTTTCATAAATTGTCTTATAGAGCGTCATCATCTTTATTATCAAAACATCTGGACTATATTTTAGCTATAGGAAATTTATCAGAATTAAATATTCAAGAATATAGACATAATTGTTCATATTCCGTTACTCATGGAGAATATATTCAAAGAATTTTTGCTGAAAGAATAAAGTCCGTACAAGGTTTTCCTGTAGTTTCGCCCACAAATCTATATGAAATTTTTTTTAAATTTGAAGAGGACGATGATAGATTTGATAATTGTCAGAAAAGATTTTTAAAAACTTATTTACCTGGAATTTTTTCATCCCATTTTGGTAATTTTGAACCTTTAAATAACGATAAAAACAAGCATGATGTCGAGCACTATCCTTATCTTGAATCCGCGAATTGACTGGGGTCTGGGGTTATTTTTTCCTTTATTTTTATGTTAATATGTATGTATATTTACTTGGTAGTTTTTGTTTTATAAAAAAAAATAAAATTGAGGAATCAATTAACTAGGACTTACAAGCTATATATATAAATATATGATTCCATTTTATCGCTAAATTTGTACGCGAAGGTTTATTTCTCGTTATCATTATTGGTTTTTATTGCACATTGCTTAGTTGGCGGAAATGGCGGAAAAGTCCGTGTAATTGGTTTTGTCCAATAATAACATATAAATGCTGAGGTTGCGACGGTTGTGACACATTATAAGTTCGTGATACGTGAAAAAATATATAAATAGACGAGATTTTCAATGAAAATTTTTTTTTTTTTTTCGTATTAATAAAATGGATGATTTTGATGAAATAGCGTATAAGAAAGAAAAAGAAGATTGGGTTACTGGTCATAGTGGCGGTTCTACATGGGAAATTAATTCCGTTTGTGGAGTTCTTTTAGTAAGAAATTTCCGTTATTATTAATCAAAACGAAATCACAATAATTTATATTTATTTTATTTTATTTTTTATTGTAGTCATCATATATCATTTGGTCAGCTTTATCAAAATATACAAAATCATTTAATTATACAACAAACAATACAGGAACTTTAATTTTAGAATTTATAATTATAGTATTGCCAAGTGTATTGGCTTGTACAATATTATCATCCTACACCTTTTTTATAAATGCACTATTCCTTTCTTTGTCGATTTTCGTTAATTATAAATTTGCACCAAAACCAAGTATAGAGGAACAAGAAAAATTAAAAAAAAGGAGTAAATGGGAAAAGGGATCAGATGATGAGGAAGAAAAAGATGGATTAGAAGGGTTAATTATTAAAGAGGGACTAGATGACGATGAAAATTCTAAAATCAAGATAGAAAGGAGTCAAATAAAACCTTTTCTTAGTATTTATAGAGCCAGCATGATGATTTTAACTTGCATATCAATTTTAGCAGTTGATTTTTTTGTTTTTCCGAGAAGATTTGCAAAGGTTGAAACATTTGGAACTTCTTTGGTAAGAAATAAATTTTGCATTCTTTATCTAGAGTCTACAATCACGTCATAATAATATTCTTCATTTATTCACCATTGAGAACAGATGGATTTGGGGGTCGGGTCTTTTGTATTTTCTTCAGGTATTGTTGCTGCGAGACCATTCTTAAAGAAACCTGAAAATAGATTTAAATCACTTAAAGGGCAATTATTTAAGGCTGTAAAACAAGCCTTTCCACTTTTATTACTTGGATTTATAAGATTAATTATGGTTAAAGGAGTCGATTATCAGGTAATATTAAAATTTGATGTTCTTAATTTATGTATATATTTTTTAGTTTAATTTAATTTATTTATTTAATTTTTTTTATGGGATAGGAACATGTTACAGAATATGGAGTACATTGGAATTTCTTTTTTACACTTGGATTTCTTCCCATATTTGTTACTCTTTGTCGTGCCTTACAAAAATATACGAGATTTTCAATAGTGGGACTATTTATTGCCGTTTGTATGTGTCATATATTTATATATATATTTTTTACGTTCTTTTATTTAAAGCCTGAATTCATTAGTAAATTCTTTTCTTTCTTTTTTACAGTCTATCAAATTGCGCTTTGGGAATTTGGACTTGAAGATTATATTCAACATGCACCTCGAACGAATCTTATCAGTGCGAATAAGGAAGGAATATTTAGTTTTTGGGGTATGTCAAACTGTGGTTATTATGGTTGTGATTGAATTTTATTTTAAATTATCTAATAAAAAATTTTTTTTTATTTTAGGATATTTATCAATATTTTTATTTGCGTTAGACATAGGGCATTATATTTTACCATTAGATCCATATTATACACTTAGACCAAATCGTCAAACAAAAAAACCAAAACCAAAAAAATTAGTAATGATATTATTCTCTTGGTCAATACTATTTTGGTTAGGTTTCTTAATTGTAACATTATGTAATATAAAAGTATCAAGACAAATGGCAAATTTAAGTTATGTATTTTGGGTAGCTTCTTTTAATATAACGTATCTTTCATTATTTCAATCAGTTGAATTGTATTATTTTAAAAATTATTGGAAATCATATGAAAAGACCGTACCTAATTTAGCTGAAGCTATAAACTCTAACGGATTACTCATATTTCTCGTGGTAAGTAATATATATTATATAATAATTATTTTTTTTCTTTAAAAAAAAATATTATACTTTTATATTAATTTTATTATTATTTAAAATAATAATATAAACGCATAGGCAAACCTTTTAACAGGATTTATTAATCTTTCTATAAGAACAATTTATACTTCAAGTTTAGTTGCCGAAATTATAATTATTGGATATATGTTTATAATTATTTCTTTTAGTATATTATTAAAGAAACTTGGATTGAGATTAAAATTATAAAAGGGAAGAGTTGATTTCTTTAAATTTTTTTTTTTCTTCTTTCATTTGTTTATTTATTTTATTTTGTGTTTAATTTTAATTTTATTTATTGAGAGAATAAAAAATCACTTTTATTAATATTAGAAAAAATTATAGAATATTTTATTTTAGATAATAATAAAGATTTAGAATTTCTTTGTGAATAAGAAAATATGAGAAGGTACGAAATATTATATTTCTAAATTAGATCGATATCAAATGGTTTATTTGATTTGATAATCGAAGTTACATTGTTGAAATGTATTATCGTTATATATTAAAATAAAAACTTTATTAGATTATCGATTTGTTTTTATGTTAAAATGATTGTCGGGAATCAGATTTTAACGTAAAAGAGATTTGGATCTGACGATTCATCAAAATATGAACCCGAACCTAAGTTTAATGTTCTACACGAATAATTATAATGCATGTATAGTCTATAAGGCCAAGAAAGAACAATCTCTCAAATTTTCTTAGCAACATCATGATCATGATAATTACACCCGTTCATCATAATTATAGACATTCTAGATCATTATCAAAAGATTCCGTCTCTTATAAAATTTTACCTATGTGATCCACGGATGGACGCTTTAATATATGAAATTTATTTAAATGCACTATCCATTCCATGCTCATTGATATTGATTCTTAATTAATTTATTTGTTCAGGAATGTCAATTTCAAATGCCAGGTTCTACTTTCTGTAAGATGGTTTTATAATTATTATTCAATAGTCAGACCAAATGTTTTGATAATGTTTATATCGAACTGTGAACATTAAAAAATATATCTCTCTTCAATGTTGACTTTTACACATTTTGTGGTAATATAAAGTGGTCATATATGTAAGTCTTTGTACGAAGTTCTTCTTCAGACATTCGTATAGTAATTTTTAGTATCGTCAATAGAGATCTTTATAATACCACCACAATTGAATATCTCCATAGACGGAACGATTAGAATTTGATAAAACTGAATGATTACGCTGCCTTGTGATCTTATTGTGGCAATATGTGTCAAATTTTTCTTATAATAAATCCATGGTTTCTCCCGTGTCTTCGTCAGCTGTACCTGCTGGGTCTTACTACGAGTAGTCCTAGTCGTAGGAGGACATAACTGTGGTTTAATATCTTAAATTTGTTTATAAAAATGACGAAAAAATACGAAACTAATAGTTGTTAAAATATTGTAATATTATGAACGGGAGAGAGTTTTTTTGCAGTTGTATCCATCAATATCTTCGATCAGTTCAATAATACTATTGACGTATTTTATTCGAAAAATATATCTTTTAAATGATTCATGACTATTTAGAAGATCAAATAACATAATCCTTTAAAAATTTACAACCGTTGCAATTCTCCTAATGCATAATAAGATTTACATACAGTACATAACAGGTCTGCTCATTTCACCGACAATTTCACCGACAATCATTCACCGACAGGACCATTTTATTCAAACTCTAATCTTAACCCTAATTTCCTTACATAACCCTAACTCTAATCGTAAATTCCCCTTGTGGTGATCGTCGGCGAAACGTTTGTTTGTCGGAATGACCCTTTCGGTGAAACGTTTGTCGGCAGGTGAGGTGAAATGATTATCGGTGAAATGAGTGCGACCCAAACATCTTTGATATTTTTGACGCATTACATAATTTAGATTTTAAAATATCACAAATATAAAATTTTACAGGTAAAAATACTGTACTATATATTAACTGAATAGATTAATAAATTATTATGCAGACGTCCAAGATCATGCTTTCAGATAAATAAACTACCTTTGATCGATATTTTTATGAACATAAATCAATATTGATAACAATAATTCCTATTGGTTACCGCAGTATTGGGCTCTCTATTTCCCTATCCGATAAATATAATTCAATTCAGCTTGAAATATCATTACTAGTTTAAAAATAAACAAAATAAATATGGTGATATGACATATTACAATTTACAATTCCAATGTTCTTTTACTCAAACAAAAGGTAAACAAACAATAAGTACGCCAGATAATATTATGCACTGTATGATTAAGATATATATATGAAAAGGCAAGTTGAACACCACGCGAAAAATGTATTATATAGATTAAATAATAATGATGCGGTGAGAATTACCATGAGAATAAGAATGCATACATTGCAAAAAAAAAAATAGTTGCTAAGCGGAAAACGGTGATATTGTAAAGAAATGTACGAATGTTACGTGTATTAATATCGTAGGAAGGATGAAAAGCATCAATGGTGTAACCGATAAGGGATGTAATAGAAAGGGCTATGTCGATAAGTAGAATAGTAGATCAATAGGTATTAGCCAATAATTAATAATAATAGATTTGTAATGAAATAATAAAAGTACTGTATACTGTATAAGGGTTAATTGCCGGAGGGGTTTAAAATAAAATAGTAATTTAGAAGTTATAATCAACTAAAAAAAGTGGTATAGACTTATTATACTTATTATATAGTTGATTGAAGATTAAGTCATGTGATCTTATAATTCATGTGATCTCATTGAAATATAATGTGCCAGAATTATAGTGCTGACCAACATCTTACGTCAGATAAAACAGAGACAAATGTCCGAAATAATTGACCAACAACTACGCCAATTACCGTAGTATTACAGTTTCATCGACTTATTTGTTTGACACTGATTTTCATACACTCATACATTCATGATCGACATAATGAATCTGTGCAACCGGAGTTAACTTTTTCTGAAAATATGGATACAATTGTTGACCGAATTCCTCCCTCCCTTCCTCCCTTTTTTTTTCTCTTCGCTTCTTCCTTTTTTTTACAAATTATGGCATGTTCAAAAATATTTTCAGGAGATTTACCCGAATTAATAAACGAAATTATACATTATTTTCAGAATGATTACAAAACCTTATACTCATGTATTCTAGTTAATAGATTACTGTGTCGTTTTGCAATTCCATTATTATGGAAAGATCCATTTTCATCTGCTTCTAAAAATCATCACCTTATCACTGATAGTTACAATAAAAAATGTGATTTTATCCAAATTTACTTATTTAATTTAAATGAAGAAGAAAAAACAAATTTAAAAGAATATGGAATTAATAAAGATTTATTTCCTTCAAGTACATTGTTCAATTATTCTAGTTTTATTAAACGTTTGAATACATGGAAAATTCTTCATTCAATTGAAAAATGGGTTGTTAGAACTTTAACAGCCGAGAAACAACCTTCAAGCTATTTTATACAAAATACAAATTTATTACCATTTTCAAATTCTGACCAATATTGGAATCTTAAGAGATTAATTTATAAGTCATTATTAAAAAGATTTATAGGAAATAAAGTAAAATTACATACTTTTGAAATTAGTATGATTGCTGATAAAGATTTTCATTATTTTAATGATTCTTTTGAATTAATTTTACAAAATCCAAATTTTATTTGCAATATTAAAAATCTTGAACTTAATTATGGTACAGAGATTGTGAACATCAACCCTTTTTTAAAATTTTTATATTCTAATTGTAAAGATATTTCGTCATTATATTTTTTATTTTCAACATTTATTGATGATAATACATTAGTTGATAAACATTTATCACAAATAATTAATTCACAACAAAATCTCAAAAAAATTTTGTTTGGTTTTAATAATTTTCCTTTATATCATTCATTATTATCATTAAAAAATTCTATTTGTTCAAATACTTTAAGATTAATTATATTTTATTATGTTGATTTTAAAAATGTAATTATCTTAAAAGAAGTTCTTGAACATTTAAATGTTTTAGAATCTATTCATATTCTTTATTGTTATTCTTTAGATTCTAATTTTACTAAACAAATTAATAACTTAACTAAACCATTTAAATTAAAATCTTTATTTATAGATAAAATCTATCAATTTGAATCATTAAGATCATTATTACAAAAATCTGGAGATTATTTAGAAAATTTTGGATTTAATACATTGGTAAATGAACCAAATCAACAATTACTTGAATTAATTAAAAATTATTGTACAAAGGTTAAATTTTTTGATTTACCTGGATTTAATAAACAAAATATAAATATAGCATTTGATTTAATTGAAAATTTCAAACAAAATCTTAGTTATCTTACTATTAGTATTGGTGTCAATAGGTTTTTTAGTTATGATTATGATGATAATGTACTTAGTTCAAATGTATTATTAAAATTAGGACAATTTCTTCCTCCTCAATTAGAATATTTAAGTTTGACTCTTATGATCAATGCAAGTGATTTTGAAGTATTCTTGAAATCTTCTCAAAATACCTTTATTAAGAAATTATTAATTAGAAATAGAATATATGAAGAATGTGAAGATATTTTACCATACATAAAGAAATATATCATGAAAAGTAAGAGAGTTGAATATTTAGCTATTGTAGGAGCTTTCCTTAGAGAGGATGAAGATTTGTTTTCTTTAAAAGATGAAGTGAAGGAATTTGAATTACATAATATTAAGGTTTTAAATTATTATGAGCTAAAAATTGATTGTTACAACTTTATAAAAGAAATGTATTAGTTACCTTTCAGTGTCAGTAATGTTAAATATTAGGTAGAATACAAATGTATTATATATATATATACAAATAAAGAGAAATTTCTTAATCTTTAAATTGATGTTAATTCATGTATAAATAACAATTAAAAAGTATTATTGAAGTTCAATTAGAAAGAAAAAAAATTCTTACTTTTTTTTTTTATGTGCACCAGCAGGCAATCTTTTTAATTTTTGCCAAAGATGATAGCGTGATGTTGCAAATGCATTTAGAAAGTTGCTGTAATTAGAAGATACAAATGCAATGTGTGTTGAAATGAAACTATAATAAACAATCCCTGGTGCTAAATTTCTTTATTCAATCTACGATATGGTGAATTTATTAGTGGTTTGAATGTAATCTAGATTTTGTTCAAAATATTTTCTTATTTTTCAAAAACGTACCAGGTCCTGATCACCTGATGGATTTTATCTGATGGATTTTTCCCTCATAAGTACACGCTTTTATTGATTTATAAAAACTTACTCCAGTGCAGGTATATGTTTACATTTCCAGAACTAAATTAGAAGATTAACTAATTTTAAAAGAAACAGGAAAGTTTTTTCTTCCACCGGATACTTTGTTCTCTTCATAGGTCCTAACTACTCACCTGACCTATGTGCTGCAAAATGGTTCTTTTTCTCCGCCATTATCCTTTATTCCTTTAATCCTATTCAGTTTTTAAAATGAGGTTTCCATTATATCTAATCCCGGTCTTTAGTACTAAACGGCAGGTCACGTGATCTATTCTTACCTTCCTTTTTCAAATCTTCATTTCCTTTCCTATATATACAGTATATATAGTCTTTGATTTCGCTTGCTTTTCTGTCTTCTTTCTCAAATTTAAGCAGTTTTTATTCGACTGGATTGGAGTATTGGAATTCTATCTATAATTTCCTCGAAAAGTACGAAAGACGTATTTTAGAGCGTTATGATTCAAAATAGCCAAGTAGTTTTCTTATCACATCTGTCAAATTCATATTTGAAACTTTTTACTTTATATTTATTTAAATAATTACAAAATAATTGCATTCCTTTCCGTCACCAAAGATTCAGATTTTAATATTAAATTTTAATTAATTAATTTTACAGTGTATAATATATAATTATGCATTTTAATAAATTAAGTTTTTAGATATCGCGCCTTTGACGTGTAATTACTCATTAAATTTGATTTTTTTTTAAAAAAAAACTCATTAAAAAATGGCACCGGGCGAGTCCGGGCGTGGTTATTGAAATACGTGATGATATATTGTACTACATACTCGAAATAAAATTTTTTTCTAAGTTTTATTTCGTGTACCAGTATGTCAGTATGTAGTATAAACAAACATCACACGCCCACAAAACGGAGGCGCTAAAAAATGGATGAAATATAAAAAATTGTATCATCTCAATAATTATTATTCTTGTAAAATAAGTTTCATCTTTATATATGTAAAATAAAATGAAGTTAAAATTTTCTTCAATATCTTCGACACTTTAAATTCCCAATATTTTCTAATATTTTAATTTAAGTGCTATCATACAGTCATTTCATATGATGATTCATACAGTATATGACGGATTTTTCGAAAAAAGCATTCATTTTTATACAAAATCAACGCTTAAACACTCGAATATACACGAAAAATTGATGGCAAAGTCACGAAACTCAAGTCCGATATATCATTATTTAATGAAATTCTAAATATTAAAAGTTTTCAAAATAAAATAGTATTTATAAAAATATTAATTATGAAATAATAACCAACAAAATATTTTAAAGATGTACTTACAGAGACAGAGCTTTTTTATCAGGATACATTTTCATTCTTCTTTTGAATATTACCATCATATTATCCAATTCGATATCTTCAGATCGCAAATTTCGCATGTTTCGTTTGGAACTCATCAATGTAACCATGCCTGAATTATGATAGATAGCAATATATGCCAAAAAGATGAAAATAGTGATTACAGGTTTCGTGAATGATTAATATGATAATTTTTTAAGGTTATTTCAGGAGATGATTTGAGTTGATTTTTCAATAGGATGACGAGGACAAATTTCTAGATGATGAATATAAAGAATTTATCAGTATATAACTATATAACTTTATTTTGATTAAAGTAAAAAAATTTGAATAAACAATTATTATTAATTTATGGAAATTTTAGTCATAAATAAAAAAAATGGGTATATACAAAAGCAAAAATATTTTTATTAATTGCAGAAAATCTTGCTTCTTATATTATTATTAATGACAAAGTACTCCGGAGGGACTTCTTAAGAAGTGCATTATCCTCCTATGAAAATTACGCATAACACCATGCCGTACCACAACCAACTGGTCCTATCGCAAGAACTGCAGCAAAAGCTGGTATTCACGAGCTTACTAAAAATAAGCGCCCTATGCTCCAACCCTCGTATAGTACTATATCACTCCAAAAAACTCCCAACCAGCCTACTGTGAGACTGCAGCAAATCTGGTACTCACAGGTTTACAAAGTAAGCGCGTTATGCTCCCACCCGTGCATAGCATCATGCTGTTCCAGCAAAAGCACCCAAAAAAAGAAGGAAAGAAATGGATATGAACGGGACGAAGGAAGGGAGTAGGAAAAAAGGAAAGAAAGAAGGAAGTGGAAGGAGAGATTTTGTGAGAGAAACAGAAGGATATATATATATATATATATATATTAACTTGGCAAAACAAAATCCTATAAAAAATTTTATCTGTTATTTCTGTAAAAACTCCGTAAAAATGAGCCTTTCACGGATCCATTCACGGAAAATATAAATAATTAGATAAATTCCGTGATATAAGGCTATTAGTTCCAGAAATATGAGCATTTTACGGAAATAAGATGGAATATAAAAAGGATTGACTTTTTTTACAGGGAATATATATATAATTATATATAAAATAAAATACTTTTTACAGGGAATATATATATAATTATATATAAAATAAAATACTTTTTACAGGGAATATATATATAATTATATATAAAATAAAATACTTTTATTTTTATTGTAAGTACAGGAAACAATATATTAATATATTTGATAAATACTGTATATACAGTATATGTGTGTATCAATTGTATAATATATTCGTAACAATATATTTATATAAAAATTATTAATTTTTTTCGAATCTCCAAAGGTGATTTTCGATCTACTTTATTAACAACATAGGAATGAAATACAAATTAATGATTACAGTATATATTCGTTACCATTATTGCCGTTCATTGCCATCACATATTGTAATCATTTAGAATTAAAATAAACATGATTTCATTGTTTTTATTAGTTAAATAATGTACAGTACGAGGTACCCCTTAAATTATTCAAATTTGTATAAGACTATAAGTATAAATTTTTTTCCAATTTAGAATAAATCTTCAAAAAAAAAGTTTTTATATAACGTGATACAATAACTTTTTTAGGTGATATGCATTATATAAAACCGATTTTTAATAGTGAAAGTATATAACGTGATACAATAACTTTTTTAGGTAATGTACATTATATAAAACCGATTTTTAATAGTGAAAGTATAGACAACCAATAATATTGCAACAAAAATTCCTATATATATACTGTTTTTATATATATATATATATATGTATAAAATTCCCGATATACTGTATATATATATATATATATACTAACAGTTAGGAACTCTCTCTCCTTTCTCTCACTTTTCTTAATGGAAATAATATTTCACTCATTTTAAAATACTCGTATTTAAAGAAGTTGCCCTAAATACCTGGTTAAAACACCAACTTGGTTTCCGCTACTTGTCTCTATTGGGTCCAGCGGCACTTGTTCATATGTTTTGAACGACTTTGGTTATAAGGTTGAAGATTCCAAGCTGGAAGGAAGAAATTTCCATTTCGCTCAGTGGTGAAAGTTCGCTTTCTTAATAATAAGGTGTTGTTCCTGGTGATAGTTTGGTGAA